TGTACACCGCATGGAAAACCAAGAACGCTGCCTCACCAGCAAGCGGCACTGGAGTTGTGGCCCACGAAGACTTCGACCTTGCGGGCCGTCATCTCTCGCCGAGCCAGGAGCTGGCGCTGCCCGGAGCCTGCGCCCAGGCGCCGGCGGCGGGCGTCTGCGGGGTGGGTCTCCCGTCGCCCGGCGTTGAGCTCCACCGCCGAGCTCTCCATAGCTCTGCGTGGCCGTCGCGTCGTCGAGCCTGTCGCGCATCTTCAGGTTGGCGCCCATCGAAGGAGTTCCAAGGCCCCGCGACGCCCGCTGCGCGCTGGGCGAGGTCCGCCCCCAGAGCGCCGAGGCTTCCGACATTGACGCAATGGGCTGACGGCGGGCCCCCGCCACAGACTGCCGGGCCCCGCCGATCAGCCCGCGGGGGCTGCTGGCCCAGCGCAGGCCTCTGGGCGGCGTGGTATCCATTGGCCGCCCGTGCCGCAACGACGCCCAAACTGATGTCCATCGGGGCAATGGCGCGCAACGCAGCCACCAAAGCTCCTCGGGGTCAAGGGCCCGCCGGATGTCCCTCCCGCCCCGCGAGCCCCGCGGCCCTCGCGGACAATGGCGGCGGGGCAACGCGCTTGGCCGGCCCCTCGCGCGCCCTCCTCGCGACGTTGGCCTGTGCCAGATAGACGCAGTCGACACCCTTGCCCGCCTCCATCTGGCGGGGCCCCTCGGCCGTGCCGAGCCGGGCACCCAGCGGAGGCTTTGGGGGGCTGGTTGGCCGGCGCGGCATCCGCGATATGTCGAACGGCACCGCTCCTTCCATCGCAAAAAAACGAAGTGGGGCACTTCGGCGACAAAGTCCAATGCCGAGGGCTCGGCTCCAGTCGGCGATCCATGCGTGGCTTAATAGCCTCAGAGGCATGGCTCACGTCGTCCGCCTCCTCGGGGCTCCGCCAATGCCGTTCAGTTGACCTCGCGAGCAATTCGAGGGCGCGCGTCTGGCCCATCGGGCCCGCGTGCCTCGCGTTGCCCCCACGGGCAGGCAGCGACGCGCTGCTCTCCGCACGGGGTGCCGCTGTCGCGCGCGCCCCCCCCGACTCGGCGCGGAGGAGCGCGCGCGGCTTCCTCCCTCGAGAAGGCCTGGGCGGGGCTTTCCAATTGCGCGCGGCCTTATGCGCCGGCCCCTGGATCTCGCCATGCGTCGCCCGAGCCGCGGCGCCCGGAGCCCCGCGCGCGCCGGGGTCGCCACTGCTGCCAGACGCCCACTTCAAAATTTACAACGCGTCGCTGGCTCTGTTTCCCAACGCGCGCCGCGGGCCCACCCGCTGACGATCTCCTCTATCGACCCGAGAGGCAGACGGCCCAGTAGGGCGCAGCGGCGCAAGGCGAACCCTCTCGGGGTCGCGGTCGCCCGCGACGACGCGCCGGGCCAGCCCGAAACTGCCGCGGGCCAGCGCGTCGGCCCCAATCTGCGGCAGCACTCAAGTCCCCCTTCCCCCGCGGCGCCAATCCCGCCCTACTTGCCTTCGGACCTTATCTGGAACTATCGGGCCTTCCGCCGCTGCTTCTCGACCTCCGCGTCCTCCTTGGTCTTCCAATCAGCGAAACTCTCGAGGTCATGGGCGACCGCGTCGGTCATGCAGCTCTTCAGGCCCGAGAGGTACACGGCGTTCGCCAGACTGGTCTGGCCGGAGTAAATCTCGCACGCGCCAGCAAACGCCTGCGCGCGCGGGCGCAGAAGTTTTGCGGAAACCAGCGACCCCGGCTGCAGTTGATCGCATGGCCCATGGTGCTCCACGGCATCTACGGCCGTTTTGAGCTAGCAGTAAGCCGATCCGCGATCGCGATGTCATCGCCGCGCGCCCTCGCCCGCCACTCTCCACGCGGGCGCAGAAGTGGGCGGGCGTGCGCGGCGCGTCCACGGGCCTGTCAGAGAACGGGCGCCTGGGGATCTCACCCGCGACCTCATGTCACGTCTTGATGAAGCGCCGCCCCTGGTCATAGCAGTCCACCGCCGAAATCCGCAGATCTCCTCCGTCTCCGCAGCCCTTGCCACCGCTGGGGCCTCCATGGGGAAGGGCCGTTCAGGCGGGCGCGGGGCTCGCGTGATCCGCCGTCGCCGCGGGGGGCGCTGGTCACAGCGGCGGCCCCGTCCTCGCCCGCGCCCCCCTCGACCGCGGCCGGCGCGGCAAGTGCCGTCGTGTTGGGCGCCTTGCGGATCAACTGGTCGCGCTCGTCAATCGTCGGCAGCCGCGCCGTTGGTCCAGCCGGGCCCCTTCCGTGAAGCCGCCGCTGGCGATCGCCGCGTCGCTGGCCTCCAAATTGACGGCGTCCCCGACGCGGCCCAGCCCGCGGCCAGATCCACCGCGATCCATTCCATCCCCGCCGGCGGCGCCATCGCCCCCCTGGCCGCCGCGAAACCGTTTGGAAGCGGGGGGTGAACGGGCGGCGGCAATGGCGGAGGGACAGCAACCTCCTCCTCAGCGGCTGCAGCCCAGGCTGGCGCCGCCGCCTCGAAATCGACCAGCGCCTCGATCGGCCTCTCCCGCCCGCCCGGAGAGACGTGGCTGGTGACGGGAGGGAGATCCTGCCCCAACAGGTCGGCCTCTGCCGGCCTCCTGTTTCGCCACGGTGACCAGCCGCTTGACACCCGTCGTGCCCGGGCGCCTCCTGAAGCGGCGCGCAGTGTTCTGGAGACCAGCTGGCGGCTGCCTGTCGCGGGTGGCCCGAGCACGCAGCGGGCCCTCGCGACACCCTCGCACGTTGTCAACGTACACGTGGCCGTCCGACGTCAAAATCATCGTGGCCCCTCGAGCCGTGGTCGGCCACGACACCATCATCTCGTGGTGCACTGAATCGTCTTCGTGAGAGGCCAGAGAAACCTCCCTGGGGCGCGAGCGGCTCTAAAACGCCCTGTACGCTGCGCCGGCTGAGACGATCGCCGTCGCGCTGACGAGAATGGACGGCCGCGAGCGCCGAGACCACCAGGCTCAAAACGGACGAGGCGTTGGCAACCTGGTGCTGCAAGCTTGACGGCGCGTTCCTCAGGTCGCACTCGTTCAAGGCGCAGGCCCCCTCTTCCACGATCAGCGGGAAGCTCGGCGCCCCGCGATGCAGATCGCACTGAAGGCGCGACGGGCATTCAGGCCAAGGATCGCCGCGCCAGGGCAGACGAGGGTGGGCACTGGAGTGAAGAGTGGCCGCACCACCCCGTCGTTTTTTCTTATAGAAACAAGCGACGATTGCCCCAGTGCTGGCGGCCTGGCCAGGATTCGTCCCGCGATAAACTTGAACAACAACGGTTGCGAATATAGACGGGCAACAACATGAAAAAGGCAGGGCCCTGCCAAAACCTCCAACAACCGCGCACGCACAAACATCCCAAGACGTCCAAAAAAGCTCCCTGATGGGCCCAGTACGGAATAGGAGGCCGGCCCCAAGAGGCCTGCAAAACGTTCCGAGAGGTCCCCAAGGTGCCCACTGCGGGGCCACATCGGACAAACTCATGCTCGGGCTTACCCCGGCTTCGGATTGCTGGCTGCCCCTTCACTGGTTCATTCAATCCATGCTCCTGTACTTTCCAGCTCAAAGCAAACCGCCTAGGAATCCGTTCTGGATGGGATGTTAAGGGCACGACAAGCGTCAATAGCCGACAACGGCGTAGATTGCGCAGACGACGCCACGAACGCAACTGGCAACGTCCGCTGCAAAAGCAATGGCGAAGCCTGTTTCAACATATTCAAAACGTGCTGCCAACAATTCCCCCCGTAAGTTGTACGTTTGTTTGCCGCCGATTTCGGCTCCCGCTCTCTCTCTCTCTCTCTCTCTCTCTCTCTCGACCTCTACACGAGACGTGCCTGTACCAGGCGGGCTGTGAGGCACGCCGCCCCTGCGGCGTGCTGCGGCCGCGCGGACGAGCGCTCCCGCGCTGCCCCCCTCCTCCTGTTTTCCCTTGGCACCGTTTATGGTCGGGCATTTGCGGATAGCGTGTCGCAGCGGCGGCCCCGGCGAGACGCTATGCCATGCGAGCGGATAGCGTGTCGCGTCGCTCCGCTGGGCGAAAGGCCGGGAAACACTGAGGACGTTGGCGCTGGGGGACGGAGAGATGGACAGCATGTCGGGGCTAACCGTGGTCGACCAGAACTGGCGGAGCGACATGCCATCCAAATGCGGTCCTCCTCACACCCTCCCTCGCCCTCCAAAGCACCCAACTTCGCGCCACGCGCCACGCGATGCGTGCCGCGCGATCCTCATCGTGCCCTCGCGGGTGGTTTAAGTGCCGCTGTGGCCCAGACCGCGAATCACGAGGCGCAATCATCTTCGCGTCCCGACGCGGGCGGCCCAGCCCCTCATCCTCTCCGTCCTCATCCTCACCCTCCCTCCCCCTCCCCCCCCCCCGAGCCCCAAGGAAGCCCGCTGCCCTCCGAGCGACGGCGGACTGCGACGGGCCAGGGACGGACGGCGGCGCGAGACACGAGGCAGTCCGTGCGCAGAGCCTCCGTACGTGGAGGCCGTCCCCCCAGGACGAGGCCAAGGCCACGGCGGCGCAAGGAGGGCGCCGAGCCAGGCTGGCGTCCGCCAACGAGCGAGGGGCGGTGAGCGCACCCGCCCCTCCCCACCGCCCGTCGCATCGACGCAATCCGCAACCACAAGGGGGCGGAGAAGCGCGAGGGGACCAGCGCGTGACATGAGAGGGGTTCTCCCCAGGGTCGCCTGGCCACCTGAGCGGGCCATGCCCGCCCCCGAAGGATCCCAGACACAGGGGTGCCGAGAGGGGGCTGGGGGCTAGGAGGGTGAGCGACAGGATCTCTGCACGACGGCCTCCGCGGTCAAAGAACAGCAGGGGGTGGGGGGGGGGCTCGGGCCACACAGAGACTCTCGAGAGGAGGCGCATGACAGATCGGCAGTTTCTCTGCCGCGTCTGCAGGAGACCTTGGCTTTGACATGGGCCCATCTGACAGGGAAGAACGCAACGGTGCACCACGAAGTACGATTATTGGCAGATCGAGCGGTGACGGATGATCCTCGCGTTCTTGGCCCGAACGTAATTGGCGTACTCTTTGTCGGACATGTCCTTGCGAGCGCCCCTCTCTTGCTCCCGCCCCACATCAATCCCCTTCGCTGCCTTTGTCTTCAATCGCTCATCGACGCGCTCTCCCGTGGCACCCTCGTGGCATGTCAGTGTTCAACCTAAGACGAAGGTAGGATGAGGATACATCCCGCCAACCCTTCAGGGCGTAGGTGTTTTAGGGCGTTTCCTCTTTCAACTCCATTCTTCACCTTCGGGTAAGGTTTTTTCTCTTCCCCTTAAGAATACACACCCCATCCCCCACTCTACCGGTGACACACTCAGGCCAATGCCAACATCCCCCTCTCATCCGGTGCAACGCAACAGTACAAAACACACATTTACTGCACCAACATATGGATTATGCGCGGACGCCCCGCGATCACTGCGCATGGTTCGTGACAGGGGCGGCGGGGGTGCCGGCATATTGCGTGCAGTGTGCGCTGCCAGCACCCCTCCCCCGCCATCTCTTGCACAAAAAATAGAAAGTGCTCTGTGCACCCAAATCTGGATCACGCGCAGGCGCCCCGCGATCACTTTGCATTGGTTCTTGACAGGGACGGCGGGGAGCGGCGGCTCTTGGCCTGCTGTGTGCAGGCCCGTTACCCTTTGCCTGGGACGGCGGGGCATTCTGGTCACCTCGCCATGATTGCGCACTGGTTTTCGACAAGGGTGGTGGGGACCGACACGTTTCCCAATGTATACTTCCACGTGCGCAGGCGAACCTGGCACATTCTGCGCGTGCCCCGAACGTGGCGCACCTGGCGCGGCTGAAGCATGCGGCACGCATGGCGCAGGTGGATCATGTGGCGCATCTGGCGCACCACACGTGCCCGGCACGCTAGGGCCACAGAGGTGCCTGGCGCATCTGGCGCGCGTGGCGCGCCTCGCCCCAGCGTTGCGCACATGGGGTCTGTTTCAGTTCCCAGTAGCTGTCCATTCCAAGACTACCACTGAACGCGCTGCGGCTCGGGTGCTACGTACGTGTGTGTTTTGGGAGGGCGGGTGGGAGTGAGTGAGACGGCTTGCGGGAGGGGAGGGTGTCTTGACCCATGCCCCTACCCCCTCCCCCTGGGTCTGGAAGGGGGCGGCGGAACGTTGAAGCGTCCAAGGTGGCTTCAGCGAGAGGGCACAAACAATCGACTTTCCAAACAGGGTTTGGGCTCATTTTTGCTTCCTGGGGGTGCGGCGCTAATGGAACCCCTTTCTTTAATCGGTGGCCTCCCAGATGACCCCAGGACTGCCCGAATGGCTCCCAAAACCCCAAGAGGCCCCCGAGAGGCCCCCCGAGGCCCTCCAGATGCACCCAAGACGCTCCAAGAGGCCCCCCAAGGCCTCTAAGAGGCCCTTGAGAGACACCCCAAGAGGCCCAAAGAAGCATCCAGGGGGCCTCTGGCCCGCACAGGCCCACGACAACTCTAAATCATGCCACGCTGTCCCGCTCTGGAATGCTTTGAGAGTGTTCCAGGAAACCCTGGAACGATTCATCCTCATCCCAGGCCTGCCTGGGAGCCTCCTGAAAAGCCTGCCGGGCATCGCCCAGACGGAATCACACCCCGGCCACTGCTATGACTCTCCCGTGGCGAAGACAGGCCGACTCCAACCATCGTTGCCTCCAAGCTTGAATCGACGGCATGAGGAGTAGAGAGTGCGAGAGGAACGTGTACATCGAACAAATTCTTTCCTTCCCTGCCTGCTGCCCCCTCCCCTCGCTCCCCGACCCTCTCAATATTATCACCTCTATCGCTGGCAGCCGCCCAGCTGTGGACCTGGACCCGAAGACGAGGTATCACATACAAGCCTGGTGGTACGTAGCCCTGTCTCGTCCTTCTCTTGTCGTAGTCAGGCTCCCGACTCGACGGCCCACCGTTTAGAGTGTTTCCCTCTACCCTCACCCGACATCCGACGAGATAAAAACAAGCACGACGTCGTGGATTAAAACACGGCCAACCATCTCGAACCCATCTCCATAAGTATCTCTCGAGTGGAACCGTTCCACGAGAGGCACCGTGCACGCTTCTCCAGTCCATCCCTCCATTTTATCCTCCTCCTCCTCCGCGCTCTTCCTTTCCCTCCTACTCCTCCTTTCCCCCCTCCTCCTCCTCCTCCTTCCTCCCTTCCCCCGAGCCAAAGACTTCCCGCAGCCTGTGGGGTTTGATTTTTGTGATGGACGCATGGGGCGCTGGCAAGAGAGTGAGCGCATGTGCACTCTCGATGAGCACGCACCCTCACATGCAACCCTACGGTTAGAGCACTGGGACGACACCCACCATTCTTCTTGCATCCTACCTTAACTGCTGCTACCCCATTATCCTCGGCCATCTTGTTGCCCCGGTGTTCTTGCTCTCTTCCGACTTATCCGGCTATCCACACCAACTGTTGGACAGGCCAAGCCTCGGGAAACTTCCCAGCCGATATCCGGCGGCACCGACCGCTACTCCTCCCCTTCACTGGGGCAAGACATTGGACCTTTTGGTGCCTATCCCACGCATCTTTGGAGCCAGAGCCCCCGCTTCTCCGTGGGCCGTCGGTCTCTCTTGTCTCGTCGCTCTTTCTTCCTTCTCGCGTCGCGCTCCTCCGCGGCTTCTATATCTGTTCTCCCTCTCTCTCTCTCCATCTGTCTCGCTCTCTCCCTCTCGTTTTGCCCCCGCGGTCCCTCAAGAGTTCCCCATCTAAGGTCTGCGACTGCAGACGTTTGCCGTGCCCTTTCATCATCACGGCGATACTGCACGCCTCTCGCTCTTGAGCAATTTCTCCACGCTTGTAAGATCCATCGTTCTGCCGCTTCGTCTTCTCGCTGCCGCTCCCTCTGCTTTCTCCCCGCTGCACTCTCCCTCCCTCTCTCGCTCTCTCCCTCCCGTTCCCCCCATGGTCCCGCGCGCTCCCGTCCAGAATCCAGGACTGTGGACTCTGACCCATTAGTTCTGCCTACCTCCCCAGGGCCCGCGCATCTCTGATGATGCGCAAGTTGTTGGGCTCGTATCCTCCGAGCCCAGGGCAGATGGCCTCCCCGCCGAGAGTTCTCTGGGGATCGCCCTTGGTGACGCCAATTCTGGCTGGGGGGGCAGGATTTGTCCCCCGAGGTTCGGCCACGTCCGCTGCTCAGCCCATAGGCCGCAACATCCGACTGTCTCGGCAGTGAGGCTGATAACCGGCGTGCAGCCAGTCTGCGAAGGCTCCGAAATGTCGGTCGGGCCTAGGCTCCAGCTTAGGAATCTGTTCCGATCCGATGCTCACTCTTCCCCCATTTTCGGGTATTCCCCTCCTTTGCGTCGTAGCTTTGCTTTCATCCACTCTTCGTGCTCTCACCGCGTCCCTACTGTGCCGTGATCGAAGTTCGTGGATCTTGCGGAGGATCGGTCGATGCGCGTCCAGCGTGCGAGCGCGGATGGTGCGTCGCCCCGTTGGGGTCAAGGAGCCAGTTGCAATGTGAACGGGGGGCGGCGGGGGGGGGGGGGGGGGGGCGATCTGAGGGTTGGAACCAGCTTTGGACCCTGAATTAAATCTTTCAAGGCTACATGGGATGGCGGTTCCAAATCGCAGAACCGCGTAGGACTTCCTCGACAAGATGGCCTTCTTAACGGTTTCTTGACAGTTCCAAAGCGGTTCCAAACAGTAGACGTCGGTTCCAACCTGTTGGAAAAACGAGCGTTTCGCTTGGGACTTCCTCGAACGCAAGATTTGGAACCTGGTTCCAAACAACTTGCAAGGGGGGACCCCCTGGGGCCAGGATAGCCGGTTTGAAGAATTCGTGCTCTAGAAGAGGGAGACTCTGACTTTTTTGGTTTGTTCCTGTCGGGGCTTTGCGGACCCGCCGCGGAGGCGAGAGCACCGCTCCGCCGACGCTTGCGCCCCCTCCCTCGCGCTTCGTCTTCGGGGTGTGTCTGTGCGTGTGTGTCATCAGCATTACCGTCGGCGCAGCGCCGCAATCCTCTCGCAGGGCCTCCTCGGCACATCCTCGTCCTCCTCCTCTTGCTCCTCGTCTTCCTCCTCCTGCTCCTGCTCCTGCTCCTGCTCCTGCTGCTCCTCCTCCTCCTCCTCCTCCTCCTCCTACCCCTTCCCCTCGTCATCCTCCTCCTCTTTATCCTCATCCTCGTTCTCTTTATCCTCATCCTCATCCTCTTCCTCCTTATCCTCCTCCTCCTCCTCCTCCTCCTCCTCCGTCCTCATCCCTTCCCCCTCCTCCTTCCTCCTCCTCCCTCCCCCCTCCTCCTTCCTCCTCTTGCCTCTTCCCTCCTTCTCCTCCCTTCTTCTCCTGCGTCCTCCTCCTTCCTCCTTCCTCCTCCCTCCTCCCTCCTCCTCTCTCTCCTCCCTCCGTCCCTCTTCCGAAATCTCCTGAGGATTTCGGATGTCATCGGGGGTCTCCGGAAGTCTTTGGAGGCCTCTGGAAGCTTCCGGAGGTTCACGGATGTCTCCGGGCGCCCCGGATATGTGTATAGGGATACGACCGAGGGGCCGATCCTATACTGGTGTCCGCAGGTAGAGGCAAACGGAAGAAGAGGTCAGTTACTCCTTTTTCCTGGGCGTCGCGCGGAGGGCAGCGCTCTGTCTGTTAACGCCAATACCTGAGCCGATGCAGTAGCGGTATCTGACGATATAATGGGAATATGAGCGGACTTCACACACACACGCACCGTCCCGATACCTGCCAGCTCCACGATGGCAACGGGCCCTCGGCAGACAACGGCAGGGCTCATCATGACAGGTGAGAGGTCCAGTCGCATCACCGTCATATCGGCCGCACATCCAAACGAGGATGTATCGACTAGGAAAGTGAGGAAAACAGGCTAACCCCGCCACACGGGGTACTTAAGGGAGTCTACCCGCCTTTAGCGGGCCCAGGGTGCGCCCCCCCCCCCCCCCCCCAAAACGGTTCGGCACTCCTGGACGATTCCCCGTCACCACAAGTGACGAAGCTGAGAGAGCAAGGGAGAGAAAAACAATGATAATGCACAACTGCATCCTTCGATGCAGGTGTCTCACCCGACGCACTGTGACGTAAAGCA